TGCATAACCTTCACTTCATTTTGTGGTAAGATAGCAGAATTATTCGTGGATTTGATCCTTATATCGACTGAGATATCTGCCATACTGTTGACTGTGTGTTTGTGTTTTCTTCTAAAATTCTTTTTAGAAGATTTAATTTTTTTTGTTTTGTTTTGTGAAAAAAGATGGGGTCAAATTGGTACATGATTGAGCCTACCAAATTTGCCAGCAAACTTCTCTCCCTTGACCAATGGCAGCACAGCCCAAGCCACTTTGCAAAGTTTGTTTAAGATTTGTATTCTGGCAGGGGTTGTGTTGAGAGCTGATATAACACATTTTTGGTGCGTGTTTGTTAATTATAGTCCTGTATCATCACTGGCTTGGTGGGGGAGGCACATGTTGTGTGGGGGCTACTTGCGGAAATGTTGACCACTCCGACAGCGAGACTCACAGTATGGATGTAAATGGATGGAGGATTAGATAAATGGATTAAGCAAGGTTCTGTTTTCAGCATCATTGCACATGAGAGTAGCTGGATTTTTTCCACAACTGGTGTTTCCCACTTATCTAAGGTTTGAACTGAGGTTGGTCAAAGTGGTATATTGAGCTGGACAGTGTTCTGAACATTACTGGACATCTATAGAGAACTTACTGTATTCCATGCAGCCACTATAAGGTAGAATTATTGATTTACAATCCTTTTAGCACTAGACTCTTGATTTGAGTGATGGCACTGTTATACTTCAGCTAGTCACAGAATATCTGAGATGTATATTGTACTATCTTACAAAGGTTATCCTCCTTTTTGTTTAGAAAGTTAAAAGTGTAGAATATTGCTGGATTTCATGTAAAATGTTTATAGACAGGCTAGATGAGAGTTGTCTTTTAGCAATTACTGTTCCTATTCCTGAACATCATGTTTTTATCCATTATTTTATTTCATACATTGGGAACCAAATAGAGTCATTACTTTTACACACTTTTGTCACAGTGCACATCTTTTGTCTTATTTTGTGTCAATAGATCATTGATATTTTGGTTATTATCAGACACCCAAGAAAAATGTTTTGATATCTTAAAAGCACAAAGATAAACACATATAACACTGATGACAATAAGATGAAACAAAATGGAAAATAGATACAAAATATTTTGCTTTGGGCATTTTACCAAGACCAAGAAAGTGTTAAATTGAGATAGCTTGTGAAGTCTCCTACATTCTTTCAAGTGTGAAAGGTTAGAAAGTCGGCATGTAGAACTAAATCAATCATGACACATTAGCCTTACCATCAGACCAAAACACATAAAGTATGATATTAGCATTGGCCCAAAAAATGGGGCACTGAAAAACAGCATGGAGTCCAGTGCATGGTGACTGAGTCTTTTATGACTATACCAGCTAGTGTACCTTGGGCCCCTTTAGATAAACATTACTGAATAAAAATCATCTAGAGCTATAGAATTATATACCAGAACAAGAATATTTAATGGTATCATCTACAAGATAACAGCTTGTATTTTTGTTTTTCAACAATTTTCAACAGTTTTGGTTATTTTATGGTACTATATTCACATCCAGCTTTCAAATAATTATAAACATGTCCCATGTCCATCAATTCAGTTGTCAAATGTGGATATCTGAAATTTCTGTTTGACATTATTGTGGTAGTAGAGGTGTCCAACATCTGGACTTGTTGGTGGCTTTGGTACTTGTGATCTTAAATTTTTAACAAAGCACATTTATTCCCAAGTTTCTCAAAAATTTTATGACGTACATACAGACAGGCATCTACGTGAATGAACTTGAAATATGACACTTGTAGGTATGTAAACTTTTTTTTTGTGGGAAGAAAGTTTTTTTGTATACAGATTTGTATGCTTATAAGTTCAAGTATCAAGTGGAGACTAATAAGTCATAAACTTTACTGTGTGTAAGTTGCAAGATGATGGATGGATGTTTGCAAAGCTGGGGCTGTATGCATAGAGCCGGGGTTGAAAAATGAAGAAGTACATATTTTCTGCCTGGCAGTTGGTCCAGTTATTCACAACATTTCTTTGCTAAACTTGGGGCCTGAGCAGAGTCAATACAAGAAATGTAGAAAAAAAAACAGTGATTTGTTAAATATGGCAATTAATTAAATTCCTCTATTTGTGTTTGAGGAACAAGTTAAGGAAATATGGGATTCCTCTTGGTGACAGCCAGCAGGCTGGACACAGCAGGCTGCCTATATAGGAATCATGATGCTGAATATTTTTGGGGTAAATATCCAATCAAGTCCAGTTTTCCCATTGGGAACCCTTTCTGAGTAGAGAAGAAATACCTGAGTTAGGTGAAGTATTAAGAGGCAGTGTAAGGATCAGGACTAGAAAACCTAGGTAGGGTGGACCACTGAGATTACTGAAGTTTGCCAGTTTTGTGGATATGTTTATTGTATAATTTTGTGGAGAAGAAGATTGACAATAATTGTTAGTGTTGATTTATGATTTTGATCTGAAATTTGAGTAGATTTTAATTCTCTCTCAATTTTGAAGCACAGCAATTTCTTTTAATAGGAAAGTGCATAGTTTTGTAATATAACTTTACATAGGAGGGCATTTTGATCATTTGATGTATTGAATTTTTATTAAAAGGGTGAATTTCTTCCTTAAAGACAGAACCATACTAAGATGTTTTTATATTATAAATTTTATTCAATGCCTTTTGTGTTGAAATAATAATGCAGGCACATTTTTTCCTTTACAAAAAATTCTATTATATTTGTACTGGGTACATTTTAGAGCAGTTGTACACTTTTATATTGGGGTAGTAACTGTAAACTTATTCATGGTAAGGTACTTCACAGATAATAAATGGGTGGGTAGCTAGCATATTCAGTAATTTGTAAACAGATTGCTTCCAGTCATGCAATCTACAGAGTACTACCGTCCCACAAAAGTGGATTGTGGACAATAGAAGTGTATGAAGTGTCTCTCATACTGTTCTCCATTTGGTCAAACTCAGAGAAATCGCTGCTGACCAAACAGGTTGTAGGTCCAGAATTAATTCCTGAAGCTATCCTATAGCTGCTAATGCTGTTATGTATACACAAAAGTGGAGTATATTGTGTATATTTAGTAGCTGAGGCAGGTGCTGCTGGTAAAGAAGGGAGGTGAGATATCTACAACAAGAAGTTAGTTGGTAAAGCTTCTGACAGTATAAATTAGCTGGTCTTTTATATTACTCTTGATATTTTGCTCATGTAAATTGAAAAAAATTGACTCTATCAAAACAAATGAACTTAGAAGGAATTTTTGAGAACGATATTTCCAAGAAGCAGACTGATTTTAAAGTGAATTAATGCTTGGTAGATAAGTGTTTTATATATGTGTTCAGCATTTTGTAGAATTCCTAGAGATAGAATCAATACTTGTGCAAATTACAGTTCACTGTGCAATCAATGACAGACAGCCAGGCTCTAGGATAAAAAGTTGAGGTCTTTCACCCGTGAGCTGTTTCAGAGGATATTTGCCATATAGACACCAGGGCATGTTTTTAGAATGAAATTGCGTGCAAATGTATCTTTAATTTAGTTATGCTTCCTCCCGTGGGATTGTTGGAAATTTGTTTATGAACTTGGTAAAAAGCACAGATTTCTAGAATGTCTTTGTTCACTTCATGAATGTGTTCTGGGATTTTTTCCACTGTTCCCATTGCTTCACAGCCAGCCTGAGTTTTTCGTCCTATGTAAGGTGTGGGTTTTGACTGATCAAATTTGCCAAGGGGGAATCTTTGAAATTCTTTCTATAGGGCATCAAGATGAACCTCATCCTCAACCAGATCATGTCTGTAAATCAGTTGATCTCATCAAAATGAGATCTACCTATTCCCATAGATCTTAATGGTCAATCCATTAGAAGATATATAGTGGGGGTTTTGAATGTTAACAGGAAATTGGGGAAAGTTCAGCACCTCTGCAGCTTGTGTTTAGTGAGAAATACCCACAAGGTGGACAGGTTATCTGTGATCAGGGGGATGATTTCGCAGTGTTGTGGAATGTGAATTTGGGCTTTTGTTTGTTATCCTGTTGGTTAAAAGGATTCCAATTCAAGAAGGTGGTGTATTCATTTTTCAGTAAGCAGACATGTCACAAATATGTTGTTGTTTTAAGAAGGGGGAAATCGAGAAATGTGGATATTTTGTTTCTTTTGGCCCCTTGCAGTCATGAGAACACTGGGTTAGAGGTGTTTTGCTTCTGAGTTTAGTTTTGCAATGAAAAGGGGAGAATACTGCTTTTTAATGAAGATTTCTCAAGGTAATCTATTTTTCCTGTTAACCCTGCACATTTCAATGCCATTTTGCTTCCTCTCCATCTCATGGGTTTGAGGGCTAGTCCTTGATGGCAGTAATATTTACCCAAGTATAATATTTGGTATTTAGAAAATGCAATGCATTGATTCCTTAACCTGTCAGGGCAGCAAAAATTGACTTTATTTAATTACCTAAATGAATTTTCTCTGTTTGGATGAGTCTTTCTACTCTAGGTCATTATTTTTTTGCAACTGTCCAGATTTTGCAAATTTTATGTTTATCAAAAGTTTTAAATTCCTACCATCCTGCTGTGAAGTTTCAGATTGTGATCACGATCAAGTTATTTCTCCTTAGCACTATCCTTCATGGCCACATATTTTGTTTTGTCTATTTCTTTTTACTCATTAAAATATTTTCTTGTTTACAGTATCTGTTTTATAGCAGTGGCCAGCTCACTGGAACCTCAGTTCATTTCAGCTGGCTGCTATGGACAACGCAGAGCAGTGGAAGAGGTGGAACACTTGCTACATTTATTGAATATTTTATACTGGGAATTATTGTAAAATTAATATCTTATCTTTTCAGTGTCAATTATTTATAGGATTTCATTCTCACAATTTTTCAATTTCCGGTTATGTGGTTTACCTATAGACAGGTTTGCTCTCACTTTGTTGCTGTGATGAGTTTGTTAGCTGCTATGGTCTTTATACATGAATTGATCTTATCCTTGCAGTTTTGATGACAGCAGCTCCATCAGCAGTGGGGACATAAGTGACACCATCAATGAAATCAGCACTGACGAAAACTACAGCAGTCCACAACATAAGACCAAGGGCAGCAAGCAAGGAGCCCTAACCAATGGCAACACTCCACCTAAGTCACATGGTGGCATCCATGGTGATCCTGCCATGATGGCCGCTGGTTTACCCTGGAGAAAATACTCAGATGGCAGCCTTGGGGTGACTAGTGGTGGAATGCCCAGAAACGAGGGTCCATGGATAAAACAAACTGACTTAAAGGCCGGCAGCCCAGGTGCTTATGGGTCATTGCCAAGGAGACCTGGCATGGGGTTGAGCAGAACTTATGACAGAGTTGATGATATTTTGCAGAACTCTGCAGGAAGTGGAGGCTCTCCACCAGGTCAGGGCTCCCCATGGCTGGGCCAGGATGGAGAAAATGGTCCAAACATGTTCCAAAGGAATCAAAATGGCAGAGCCAGCAGTGGTCCTGTGTATGGATTTCGCCGGCCAGTCAGCAGCACCAGTGTTGGTTCTATTGGAAGCAATGGCTCCAGAGCCTCGGGAAGGTACAGCAATGCAGGGATGGTGGGTGGACCCAATTATGAAAACATTGGGCCTTTTACCAATGGTCCCCACAGTCCATATGCCTCTCCTAATATGTTGAATGGCAGTAAATCAGTGACTGATATGAATCCTGATGCATTCAGTTCCAACTCTCTGGATAGAAGGCACCGAGGGTTGGCCTCCTCAAAGACTCAGTCTGGCCTCTCAACCAGCAATGACCGAATAGATCCCGATGCATACAAATCTAGCACCCTGGGACGCAGGCGTCCTGGTGACAGCACCCTGCGTGAAAGGTTATTTGGCAGTCGGTCCAGTCTGACAGGTGGTAACAAAAAAGACGATGAAGCCTCCACAAACAAGTGCAATAGTACCATCATTTCTAACCCACATGCCACCTTAAGCAGGAGGTCAGACTCTGGAATACCTGGATCGGGCAAGCAAGGTTTGCCTTTCATGAACGACTTTTTGTCTCCGGACTATGCGCAGAACCATCGAGGCTCTGGAATGTATGGCACCGATCCCACCAGTCCCGCCGCCTGGCTGAGATCTGCACAGAACGGCATGCAGCAGATGTCAGGCACAGAGAGCATGGAGTCGCTGTCTTCTTCTTCCAGTATTCAAGCTCAGATTCAGCAGGCAAGGGCTCTGAGCTTGGCCAATGCTCAGATCCTGGCCCATGCCCGTGGAGGAGGAGCAGCAGGAGACGGCGGGCGCGTGGAGAGGTCAAACAGTATCAAATCTTCTCAGTCCGAGAGAGGCTACCCTGTCAACTGCCAAACCAACCCTGATCTACCTCGTACAAACTCATATGGCAACTTGGATAATGGTGGTGGTCCTGTGAGTCCAACTCCCAGCAACAGTTCCCAGTCCTCCTCCAGGTTCACCTACCCACTGACTGCCCTCAGTAGCTCTATGTATACCAGCACTCCCAGCTCAATGGTACATTCAAACAGCTCCCACTCAAACCTGCCCTTTGGTGGACTCCTGGCCATGGCACAACTGGGGAACAGGAATGACGAATGTGAGTATAGTACTCTGGCTAAGCTTGGTGCTTATGAAGGGTTGAGAGAAGGTTCGTGCTATATTACTTAGGTCATTTTTGAACACAGGTTATGGTATACCATGACGATTATGAGAAAATTGTTAAAATTTATTGGAAGTTTTAATCCTATGTGAAACCTCAGTACTATGCCTTTATTATTTCATAAATCCAGTAAAAATATCCTCAGTTTAAGTTCTTTGTAGATGTCACTGTTATGATGTGATGCCGAAAGTTGACAGTTGCAACTTCCAGTATTACAAAATAATTTTGAACCTCACCTTAACCCAAGTTTCTGACCATTTCTTAGAAAGCTAATATATGTTAACCTATCATGCAACTTCTATTCCACGTATCCCAGTTTTTATCTGTGATGTTTCTCAATTTCTTTCATAGTCAGACAGTTAGTGGAATCTCCCCGTCTGCCTGCTTGCATACACAAACGGATGATTTGCATATTTGCTATATATTGATGGAGAGATTGGCTGTAGTTCCAAGACATGTTTCTTTTGGCAAGAGAGTTTTCCTGTACAAAATCCAGTTAGCTCTTGATTTTGGAACTAACAGTGATTGAATATTGAATGGATTGTTTTGTCTCGTTCTCAGGAAGTTTTTAAGCGGATGGTATAGAGATCTTTTCTTCATTGCAAAAATTGCATAAAAAATTGAAAATATTGAACTTTGCAAAAATCTCCATTCGTGGTCTGATTAACCCTAAGACAACTCAGATGAGTGGCACATTGAACTTCTAGTTCCTTATCCTCATGGGTTAAAGAACAGTGTATGTGGTAACTGGCTTAGCAGGAGAAAATAAATTCACCCCTGCTTGCCCTGATTGCCTCAATTCCACCCATTACTGTAACACAATGGCAGTGTTATTCAATAGAGGGCAGAAAGTCTGATTTTGATCAGACAGTGGTAATCTTTAGTGCTCAGATTAATTCTTTTAAGTGGAATTGAAAAAAAAAGTCCGCCTTTCTCAATTGTGTGTGCTTGTAGCCACCAGGGTGTTCTGCTCTTTAGATTATTTTTCTATGTAATCTCTCACAGCTGGTATATCTTGTAATGATCCTGTTACATGATCCATTGCTGAGGTGTTCCTGAGCAGAATATTATCATACCTGTTTCCCATTTTTAATAGGGCTTCCTTTTACATATATTCTTGTTGTAAAAATGACTGCTCGAGGCAATTTTTCTCTTTCCATGAAAAAAAAGCAATCGTGAACCTCAAATTAAGGAGAAAAACCAAACCAAATTTAGTAATCCAAACTCTGATTTAACTTGAGCATGCCCTGGATTTAATTCTTTCCAAGATACTTGATATTTTATGACGAAGTGTTTGGTTTTTATTAGAACAGAAGATGGTCTTGCAAGATAAGTTTAGTCTACCCCGAAAGACTGTATAAAAAATATGCCATGCTCAAGGTAGCAATTAAGACACTTGCACCTGTGCAGTGTTATGGGATGGGAGATGTCTGCTAATAGAACCCCCACCCAAATGGCTTTAAGGTTTACTGCCTCACCTTCCACCCTCCTATCTCCAAATTAAATCAATATTTTACCAGTATTTCGCCTTTTGTTGACAGATCTGTTGAATACCTCCCCTGGAATCTTTTTTAAACGAAAGCAGCACAAGAGCTCTTTCAGTAACCCTTATGAAAAATAATAGCAGCCACACAAGAATTCAATTAAGATGTGTACAAAAGAAATGCCTTCAAAGGAAATACGAGAGACCTATTTTCATATCCAGTCTAATTTTTTTTCCTTTCAAAGATTGCTGCAAGGAAATAACAATGTGTGAAGTGATAATTGCCCAGCCCTAGTCCATGATGATCATCTTATGGTGATGACTGACAAGTGGACCCATTGGCTCTAAGTGCTAAGAGAGTGACCTTTCAATTTTTTGGCACACCTCATGGAAGATCAGTTTGTTAGCATACCTTTGCTGGGCTAACAAACATCGCATCTGGAATTTCTAGGAAATATGCATGATTAAAAAGAGATAAAATGAAAAACTGATTCCTAGGAGTATTCCGTCTAACTATATTTTTGATTGACAGTGAATTCCATGGAATGTTCGTTGGTAAATTTTCTAGCAACCCTGCAGAGTGAAGAATGTTACCAGAAATATCCACATTTCATAATAAGAATACACACAGCTTCACTATATCAGTTGTATTTTTCTTGAGAGATGTTAACTTGAAAGCAAACAGTTGTCTCTGGGTACCAACTCTTGAATTCTCACCTCACTTCAGTAACCTTATATTCTAAGGAGGTGTTGAAGAAATAAGATTGATTTTTACTGACTAATACTCAAGTTATAAGTAAGCAACAGCAGTGATTAAGTATTAAGGAAATATTTTCATGTCTCTTCTCTGAATTGGCTCAGAAAACAGGTTTAATTTCCTTGATAAATGTGCAACAACTGCTGATACTTTATAAAAAACGACCCGTGAGTTGTCTGATTTTTAGGCTCGGTATATTAACTAAATGCAATTTATTTGGTTTGTCAGATTGCCTTAATTTTAGAGCCAATAGAATACCGATTAAGTATGGTTATATATCCACACAACTCAACGACCTTGTTATTATCTAACAGCCATCTACACTTGTTAAGCTAATTAGGTGTTTCAGGAAATTAAATCAAATGGGAATTGCCTTATCTGGCTGGGAAAATTAATTTTGAAACAGAAAGTTAACTGTTGGATGTACAAATGTTGACATTGTCTTTCTAGTGCATGGGTCGTCACTCTCCCTGCAGTCTTCATCATCCTCAATATACTCAACTGTAAGTACCTCATTTAGAAATCTAACTAAATTTTGAAAAGATGGTTTGAGGTTTGTCATTAACTATAATTTAACAAAAATGTTTTAAAATAGATTTCTGAAGTGATTTTTAAAAAAAATCATTTTGCTATTTAAATAGTTGAATAACCCATTTTACCGTTCATTTTAGGCTGAAGAGAAGCAGAATGCAGAGGTGAGTTCTGCATGGTACACATTGCAGTAGCAGTCTAAGCACAATTGTGAAGGTTTTTTTACTGTTGCGTTAGTTGAGAAATATTTGTGTTTGGTTGAGAATGCAATCAGCAGTTTCTATTCTGGTTTTACATGGTTTGGTATTGTAATGTACATTGTAGTGGTGATTTTTCCATGTAGTACAGATTTAGTTGAGGTTTTTGTTTTCTGTTGTTTAGATACGCAAGTTGAAGAGAGAACTGGAGTGTGCCACAGAGAAAGTCTCGACCCTAACCAATCAGCTGAGTACAAATGTAAGTGTAGAAGGTTTCTTGGGTTTTGGCAGCATCAGATAGTATTTGTTTGTGTGAGTGCATTTATCATGATAGATTTCGATGAAGATAGAATTTTTTGTCATGTTAATGATTTTATTATTATTATTTTAATTTCTAGTTTGGTGTGTTGTTTGTAAAATAAATAAGGACATGTTATTACGTTGATAGTAATCCAAAGGGTCTGTAAGAAAAATACAGCTGGGAAAAAAGTCAATGTGGCAGGTTTTGATAAAGGCTTTCATAAAAATGTATAACATTTAAAGAAACTGAGATTATCAAGATATCTGGGTCTGAAATGAAGTAATTATCAATCACAATTACTTAAGTGCCATAATTATTCTGCTATTTGATTAAAGTTTGAATATTATTATTTTGTTTACATTCTTTTGTATATGTTTGATTTTGCTCCATTTCAAATGTTTACTTTATTTATTCTCATTCCATTTGCTACCAAAAACAACAAAGAAACAACGTCAGTTGTCTATTATGCATGAGAAAAATATGGACTCTAAAAGGACATATATTTGCCGAGTTATGTAATTTTACTTCTGTGAATGGAGGTCAAATCTTTATATATTACCTGAGGCTGTACATTAGGTCCTATTATTTACCTGGAAAATCAATAGGGAAGATAATATTTAACTTATTGAGTGTTCATTCATCTGTGTGATGGGCCCATTTTGTATCCTAGCTATGTGCTCTTCATTAGGCGTAATTGTTTGAAAAGACTTGGGCATGGAGAGTGTTGCTCATTTTTGTTTAATGAACATAAAAACTAGGCACAAGAGTATGTCAAACAGTAAATGAATAAGAAAACAAAATGAACATATTGTTTTTTAGAATAAAAGGTACAGAGTTAGCCAATGCAAACACTTTGTAAACAGCTTTTCCAACTAACTGAAGACCAAATGTAGGCATGTAGACGAATATGTATTCGGTAATCTGAACTTCTAGTCTTTCAAACCTAGATATGTACTTGACATTACAGTATGCAAAAATCATGTCAGCAATTACAAAACTGTTATTATCCATATAAAAAACAAATAGCTCTGGAGCTAAAAGACATTCCAGCAAAAAGATCATATTCAACCTCTGATGTCGGATATCTTTGATCAGTTCATATCTTAAAAGTTCGTCCAAATTTCTAAAAGTGCTTGTAAAGATCATCTTCACACACCAATGAATCAAATCTTTGATCCATTCATATCTTGTAAGTTTCAGTGAATTTTTCAAATGCCTAGGTATGTTGATGTATAAGTTTTTGGAGTCCAGTTGGTATGAAAGATACAAGCTTTCTACAAGCAACATGTGCCCCTAATTCTGGAAAGACCCTTGGGCGTTAAATTCTTTCTAGTGAAAGATGGGAGCTAACTACTAATCTAATGGCAATTAAGGTGAGAAACATGTTTGATATTATGTGGCTGACCATCGATTGATTGCCTTTCCTTAAATTCCTAATTTAGTCTTGGTGCTTCTTTCCCTCTGCTGACTTACTGAAAGTGCAGGAGTTTCAAATGACAGTTAACAGGGTTTATAAAAATCTGCAGCCCTAGCCGATAATTGTTAACTCAGACAGCTTGAACTGTGGATGTCTTTTATTACTGGCCATGGGGATTATTGAATTGGTACACTACTGGTGCTAAAGAGAAAAAAGGGAAATTCTCTTTACATGGAAGCCAAACACACATCATTAAAGGAGAATTCAATCAAAATATTATATCATTTCTACAATTTCTGTATTTGATCCTCACGCAGATTTTGGTTTTTTTCCAGGTCTGCCAATTTGATTGTGGTTTATGCCAGTTTTATCAGTTTGTGTAGAGCGTTTCATTATTAATCTAGTACATCGGATATACAAAAGACAGAAGTCCTGTTTTAATATTGAACCATTAAAACAATCGCTATGATTATTGCTGATAATACAACCTTAGAGAATTTACAACAGGTTTTTTTTTTGTAGATACCGTCATCATATGCTAAAGATCTGGGATGGTTCTTCACTCTACTATATAACCTAAAGTTATCAGATTGTATATACTAGCTTTCTCAGAAGTTTAGAACCTAACAGCACTGGTCATCAGATAACTGTTTGAAGAAACTACCTCCAGGAGTGCTTCTATCTTCCACATCAACACATGGCCAGGATTTATTTTTCTTGCAAAATATTGTTATCAGAGGGAATAAGCAACCAGCAGAGGATGATGGGCCTGGAAGATAAAAAAAAAGCTCAAAAAGATATAGCATCTACTAGGTGATGTGAATGGATGTATTCTTCAAGGGATACTTCCTGTGGATTTCCTGGGGTTTTTTTTCCTATTTCATATTTTGATTTAATTGCATTCAGAAAGCACAGCTGTTAGATAGGCTTCACACTCAGAGAAAGGCCCTTTCATTTTGTTCCATTTTTAGAGTCCGATAAAGCTTAAAAAAGAAATACCTTGCCGGTTGTATTTAGGTTTCCATATTATTTCCTTCATTTTTGCGGTTGATAAAGTTTAAAACGTCTTAGGCTTCATTCACATGCAATGTCTATTTTCTAAATTCTATTTTCTATTCGCGGTATGTCTTATAATCTCAGTCTGTGCCCTGAATATCCCGTGGTGTAATTACTGGCAGCGCGAGCCAGTTACTATAAGTTACTATAAGAGAAATAGTTCAAAATGTCCTAGATCAGACAAATGCATTAGTCAAGTGACATGTGCATATTATAGAATGGCAGTTGGCTAAATCTTGGGGTTTACTGTGAAAGAGTTTCTGAGGTAGACCCCCAGGGCCACCCATCTGGATTGTAACTGAGAATAGCTTGCTTAGCTAGATATACTGATGCCCCTGTGCCCTTGGCGTACATTTTGTCTGGGAAAACTTGGATTTGCATTCTCACTACTTTATTGAATTGCTATATCTTTTTAAAGGCTTAATTGCTTCATTAACCTTTATGGTGGCTGATGGTTTCTCATGCTTTTCAAAGTATTTAGCTTACCCTTTCACTACATGAGGTTCCCATTGTAAGATAAAATAAAGTGACAACATTTTTAAAAAAATGTACACTTTCTAAAATGTTCATTTCATGGATTTGTAACCCCCATTAGGTAACACTAATGTCACCTTTTATCTAGAACACAGCAGTATGTTTTGTAGCAGGTAGTTATAATAGTAATAGATCCAAGGTCTCCTTGGTGGCCAATGTTCTGAAATAGTTGACATGTGCTACCCTGATGTACTAAAGAACCTCAGCATTATATTACATTATAAACTAGTTGTTACAGTAATAAGTTATTAGTTCGGACCACCCGCTCTCATTGGCTTGTAACACCTGTATTCAGGTAAGGAATTGTTGCCTTAAGTGATGGGATGCTGTTTGGTTATTTGTTATTCTGGACCTCTTTTACTTAGGTAATCCAGGTATAAAAACAAACTATTCTAGTTGTTGAGGAGTTAAATGTATCAGAGCGCGGTTCTGAGTCGAATGCCACATGAAGGTAAGACCTTCTCGTTTGGCCAATAATGGAAGAAATTCTTTTCATTTGTTATGACTGGAGATTATCTTCTGATCTATTAATTGGTGATAGAAAAGGTTCCAAATAAATTTTGGCAGACTTTTGTTTATGCTGGCCCCTAGGTATTGGGTAAACCTGCAGTAATCTAATTACTCCGTGAAACATCCAATGAATGAAGAGTTCTATGAAGAAGTGAACTGGAGAAGGAAAAAATGTAGACTTGGTTTATTCCTTAATGTTAGAAAGATAGGAGGTAGAAGGATAACAGTATGTCTCCATCGCTTGGAGTGAAAGGAACAGCAAGGGTATAGACAATAATAACTGAAAATTATCTGGAAAGAAAACCAAAATTGTGAGCAAGATTGAGGTGAGAGAAGGTTTAAGGACAGACGTTCAGAGAAAGGATAAAGATTGAAAGATATGGGGAAAAAAAAAGATATATCTGTTTCTCTCTTATGGGTGTTCTGAGGTTGACAGGAAGCTACATGGGTTGTTTTGGTTCGGGTCATTACCTTCTTCCTCAGGGGTCCCTCTTCAGTGGTCTCTAAGATGTGATGGATAGTTAGAAATGATATGGTAGAGTACCAAAGCAGGGGAAGTCTGTGTGGGTAAAATGCACTTTTTTCTTTGTTTTTGATGGTAGTTTTATTAGCAGAAAATTTATCCCAGCCACAGGTACTGATTTTCGAGACATACTGACATACAGTGTATGAGTATTTTTTTTACTTAGGTAAGTCATCATCAAGGAAATGACCTGATTTTGAGATAGATTCTAAATTGAGGTGCGCTCTTTTCAATTTTGCCAAATTCTTCTAAATTTCAATTTAAATTTCAAACTTCTTTGGGATTGTATTGCTATCTTCCTGTCAAGATCATTATCCAACATTGACGTTTGGGGAAGGGAAACAAATTTCCGTCTGCCAGCTGCCCCTCTGCTATTGGCAGCTGATGATGGATGGTGGACATTAAATTAGGGGTCAATACAGATTTCTGATAGAAACTGACCACCAGGGAGACCCTGTTCATTTGGCCACTTTTGTCATCTGCAAGGAAAGACTGTTTGTGCCAGTAGATAAGGGAAAACAAAAACCAGACATTGAACTATCGAAATTGCTCCGTGATAAGTCTACAGACTGTCTGCATGGTGGAGACTGGTTTTAATGAAAGTAAAAGCTATTTTACAAGTTTTTTAGTCTGGCTGGAATAACTCATCTCTAAAGTGGCTCCTAGTGTGAAGACGTAGGAATGGATATTAAATCTCTTTTTTGAGTGGTTCATTTATGTTCTTTACTGTGACTTAAACTAATGTATGCTCATACAGTTTGAACAAGGACTATCTTGTGGCAAGAGTAAAAGAGAACTCCTGGTGGTGTTGATGTGTTTCTATGGTAAGTAGGTGGCATTAGCTGTCAAGAGGTTACACTATGTTGTGCCGTTTAGTTTAACCACCTTACTGTTCAAGATCAATTTGGATTGGAAAGT